TGATAATATTTTAAAATAAAAATTAATTTTTATATTTTAATATAATTTAATTATAAAATAACATATTTATTATATTTTAAACCTATATATTATTTAATATTTGAATTGATGGTTTTATATAATTTGAATTGATGTTTTGATATAGTAGTGAATCAATTATAATTGAATCTTTTTTATCCAACTGAAACTATTCACCATTCAACAAGAATTAGGGGGGAATATATTTTTTTCAATTACCATTCATTAATTTATTATATAAAATTATTAACTCAAAACAAAACAAATGTGACAATCAGATTACAATAATTAGAAAAAACAAAAGGGCTGATGAAACTCACAATCTGTTAAGTTTGTTTTTTTATATTTTACCGTACAAATTAAAGCAAAAATGTCAAAACAAAAATTGGGCAAAGGGAAGCTCACCAAACCACTTACCTTTAATATTATTGGCAAATGGGAAGCCTCCCACCTGACAATAAAAATTAATTTCAACCAAATAATGTCATGCTTCCTTTTATTACACGATTAAAGACAAGAAAAAGGCGACAAACATCCCCCGCGCGCGGACATAATTTAAGAATTCACAGTTTTTTTTTTTTTAATTAATTTTTTAATAATAATAATTATATTAAGTGTTGAGTAATTTAAAACTAAGTTACATTAAATTTTATTAAAATTTTTTTTAATATTAATTTTTTTATTCATAATATTTAAATTAAAAATTTTATTTAAAAAAAATTAAATTTTTTCTACTTAAATTAATAAATTCATTAATATAATTTATTATTGTACTGCACAAACAAAATTATTTTTTATTTTTATTTTTTGAACATATTTATAAGGGACGGGTTTTGAACCCAGTCCAAAAAGAGAGAAATGCACTGAGGTGGTTATTACCAGTAACCCGGAAGGTCAGGTGCGCACAAACAAAATTATTGAACTTACCTCTGTAAGTAAACTATATATATATATATATTGTCGTTAATTAATATGGTCTGTAAAATCGGGCACAGCCCTTGTGTTCCAGGTGCCTTACTGATGCAAGCAAAGCAGGAGACTAGCTAGAGGCATATTGTCTGCTCCTACCCAGCACCTGCACAGAGAGAGAGAGATACACAACGGAAAAAAAATCATGCAACACACAAAGGAGGAAAGGAAGGACATAACATAAATAAATATATGCATTTATTTTAAGACTGAGAAAGTTAAGGATATGCATCGTACAACTAATTACTCCTATATTATT